TCCTGGAGTAAGGCACAGGACAGGTTAAATAGTATTTGGAAGGCCATTGCTGTTCCCTTTGGTTACTGTGGGGCTCCGTTGACTTATTTCAACAGTCCTCAGGACACCTTAAAGGTAACCATATTTATTTTTTTGCAGACTCTTTTGATGAAGGGTTTTGAAAATTCTCAAAAATAGTGTATTTAGCGCTAGAACTAGTCACAAGCTAGCTAGACTCTGTCTCACAAGCATCACTGGTGGTTAAGTTAGGTAGATTGGCTTTCATGAATGACAGCATAGAAGAGGCTCAGTCCTTGGCCTTAAGAAGCTGTGGTCAAGTTGAAGAGGAAGTGGAACAAAAGACAACTACAGGCGGATTTGTGCCAGAGGTATTAAAAAAGGAGCTAAGGAATCGGGATGATGGAAATGTCCTAAAACTCGGTGATGGTTATGACTGCTAATTTACTAAAAATTAATAGTACTCTTAAAACAGGTTAGATTTCATGATATGTAAATTATAGCTCGGTAGTGTTTTTTTTTTTTTTTTTAAAATTACTCTGTGCACTACTATATGAGATCAGAGGTTCCTGTTAGTGCTAAACTAAAACTATGATCTTCACTAGCCTTGTAGAGGAATGTGGTAAAGCAAGGGGGGGCGGTGTTTAAGAAGTAGTTCCTGTTTCCATTAGTCTTACTTAAGTTCTTGAGTATGGAGCCTGACTTTAAGTGAGGAAAAACCATTAAAAGTCTTCACGTATTCCAGAGGTATAGACAGATGTACATTCAGATAGCTCAAGAGAATAATCTAGGAGATGACAGGAACAGAGGTGGAGACCAGTTGACCAGCTAGTTATGAGGCTATTGTGATAGTTTGGGGGAGAAATTATGGAATTTCGTTGGAATCACGGTGGTGCATCAGGAAAGAAAGGTGGCACAGGTTCATGAGCTCTTGGGTGAGCTTGGCAGGGCTTGGTAGCTGAAGCAGTATAGATGAGGAAGGTGAGGAGTCAGGGGAGGGTTAGATTAGAGGAGGGGTAGTGGGGGGATGGATATGTGGGATATGCCTGTGGACATGTTGCATCTGAGATGCCTGTGTGACATGTAGATGAAAATATCCAAGAAGCAGGTACACCCATGATTCTGTCATTCTGGGGAGGGAGATTCCTGGTTATAAGTCATTAGTACAGAGTAGTGGTTAAAAACAGAAAGATAGGGACTAGAGAGATGGCTCAGAGGTTAAGAGCACTGGCTACTCTTGTAGAGGACACAGATTCAGTTCCTAGCACCCACCAGGCAGCTAACAACCATCTGTAACCAATTCTGGGGGGATTTGATGCCTTCTTCTGGCCTCCACAGGAATTGCTCATACATGGTACACTTACACACATGCAGAAAAAAACACTCATACACATAAAATAAAAATAAATCATAAAATGAGAGAAAAAAAACCATGAGGAGATGCAACAACTAATGCTGACCTTGTGCATCAAAATAAAATGATGGGCTGAGGATGGAGGCCTGGGGAGTCAGCATTTGAGGGTAGAGAGAAGAGGAGGAAGTAGAAAAGAAAATGGAGATTAATGTGAGGGAGATGGGCAGAATGTCAGGAGACTGTGACTGATGTGAGAAAGTCAAATGAGCAACTTTTGAAGAGGACAGGACAATTAGACTTCAGGCAACAAAGACTGTGGAGGTGTCACTGAATTTGGCTACTGGCCTTAGCAGTGGCTGGGGAAACAAGAGAAGGAAGTGGAGATTTACAAGAGAGGAGACAGAAGGAAGAGGAGATAGAGAAGAGGCTGGCTGACTCCAGATGGCTGGGACAGACAGGAAGAAGCCAGAGCTGCTGCTTGAGGAGGGAAAAGGCTCTGGTCCTTAGTTCTTAGGATAGGACATGTGAGTGCATTTTTACACTGAACTAATATGAAGACAAGGTTGGACTAAGGATATAGTTCAGTCGGTAGGGTGCTTGCTTTGCACACATGAAGTCTCAGGTTCGAATCCCTGCACTATAATAAATAGATAAATAAAAGAGAAGCCAAGCATGGTGGAGTACATCTTTAATTCTAGCACCCCAGAGGTAGAGGCAGGTGGATCTCTGTGAGATTGAAGCCAGCTTGGTCTACATAGCAAGTTCCTGGCTAGCTGGGGCTATAAGGGAGACCCTGTCTCAAAGAAAGAAAGAGAGGAGAGAGAAACACACACACAGAGAATCCTATGGATGGGGAAGGCTGGACAACAGAGAAGGTGAGCCAAGGTCTCAGCTGGTCAGTGGCAGGACAGAGGGTCATCCTATCCTCTGAGATTTGAGGGCTAGAGGGTGGGCCTAGGATGGCCATAGAGGAGTTTGAAAGGGTTACTCCACTGATGCCCTAGGGCTTTTGTTTGAAGGGAAACTAGAAGTATGGGGTGAGAGATTTGAAGGCTATAAAACATCAGTGATGAGCAGAGAAGCTGACGGACCAGTAAATGTGGTGAAGTGAGTCGCTCCATCAGCAAAACACGTGTTCAGCCTCCCTTGCCTGTGCTAGACCACTTTTTGCCACCTCCATTCCTATGCACTTGGTTCAGGTACCATAATCTCTCTCAGAAATATCTGTCAGTTTCCTTACAAATTTCCCTGCGTTTTTCTCTTGCCCTTTCCAGTCCTTTCTCTACACAGAAGCCAACATGATTTTTTTTTTTTAAATCCCCATCAGATCACGCTGCTCCTCTCTTAAAACCATCCAGTAATTCTGTGATAAAAAAAATCAAGTTTATCACACATCAGGCTTTGCCCTGTAAGATACAATATGATTTGGCACTATGGAACTTTCCCATCGCCTCACATTCTATGTGCTCCATCCGCCACTTTTACCTTCTCCTGCTTTCTTGAAGTTTCCAGGGCAGTCTGCTTCAGGCCTTTGCACTTGCTTTCACTCTGCTTGCGATGGCTTGGGGGCTCTTTCCCATCATTCACTTTCACAGCGCGCAGACAGCACTTTCTCAGAGGTCTTCCCTGCCTGTGTCAAGGAGCATCACCCCTGCCCTCATCACCTGTTTTGTTTTCCTCATATATCAGCAACTGTGTTACTCAGTCTTCTATTACTATAACAAGTACTTGAGGCAAGTCAGTTTAAAGAGAAGAAAGGTTTGACTCATGGCCTTGGAAGTTTGATCATGACCAAATGCTATGATGAAATGGCCCTATTGCTTTGGGCCTGTGGCACCAGAGAACATCATGGCAGTAGCATACTCTAAAGGAAGCCCAGTTATCTTAGTGGTCAAGAAGTGAAAGGGAGTAAGTTCCCACAGTCCCCTTCCAGGGCATACCTCCGATGACCTAAGACCTTCCATTAGGGCCCACCTCATAAAGGTTCAGCCATTTCCTCATAGTACCAAGAAGGGGACCAAGCTTCTTGGTCTTATGAGTGAACATTCTAGATCCAAACTAGAGCAGTAACTAAAATAATTTTGTATGTGTGTGTGTATGTGTGTGTCTTACTTCTCAAGCCTAGAATAGGAGCACTGGAGGAGAAGGGACCTTGTTCAGTACATAGAAGGTGGTACTTAAGATCTTATTGGGTTGAATAGTGCATGCATGGGCACACACACACACACACACACACACACACACAAATTGGTGATGCTGAAAACCTATGTGAGATCAGAAAACTGGCATGGCTCCAGGCCACCCAGTGTATGATTTTTTTTCAGCAGGGACCATACAAGAAATAAGACTGATTATCCTTATGTGCTCATTCTGGAGACATATTGAACAAGGTTTTCCACACAGCAGTCTGTGGCAGAGGCATCTTTGTGAAAAGCAGATGAATTTCCAGGATGACCTGTTCATATGTTGACATTTTACTCGATTCCCAGAAACTTCCTTGATGTTATAGTCTTAGGAGGAAGCTGCTGACTTCATTTCCAGCCCCAAAGCAGAGAGGTATTATTCAGGTGAAGTCAGGTTACTGAGATGGGTCTGGTTTCCTTGGTGACACAGGAGGCTGTTATATTTGAAATTGCTAAGAAGGAGAAAAACCTTATAACAGCTGATCTGGATCTGTGTTTTCCTCAGGGAAGGAACACTTTCTGATCTTCCACAGAGGCTGAGGATATGCCTCCTTGACTGACAAGGGCCACTACTGGCAGGAGGAGATGAGTGACATCTTCAAAGTGCTCCCAGAATCTCACCACCCATTCCATCAAGTCTGTCTATGCCAGCCCCAGGTAACTGCAGCATGACCCCTCAGGCTCTCCGTCAGTTTTGTTTTTGTGTGTAAACACTGTAGCCAGGGAGACTAGAAGCTTGCTTGTTGTAGAGTGAGTGTGCTAACCACCTTTCTTCTGGCACCCATGACAACAGCAGGTCGTGCTATTTTGTAAATGGTAGGGTGACCCAGTTAACCCCTTAACGTCTTATTGCTTTTCAATTGGTTTGTCAAATTTGAACCCTAATACCACTTATATTAAGGGTTGTGGGACAAACACTACACAAAATATTTGTGTGTGCATAGGTGTGCTTACCCCTGCACATGTGTGTAAGCCAGAAGATGTGGGGTGTCCTGCTTTATAACTTTTGATCTTATTCCTTTGAGACAAGGTCTCTCACTGACTCTGGAATGAGACTGGAGGCCAGCAAGTCCCAGCCATCCTTCTAGCTCCGCCCCCCGCTCCAGCACTAGGGTTACAGATATGCATAGCCATGCTGTCATGCCGGACTTTTTACATGAGTGCTGGAGATTTGAACTGAGGTCCTCATGCTTGCATGGCAAGTGCTCTTACCCACTGAGCCATCTTCCAAGTCCCTACACTAAATATGCTTATCTTATTCAATTTTTGTGACAATATTATAAAGTAGGTACTGTCATTAGAACCATTTTACAGATGAGGACATGGAGGCTGAGAAAGGTGAATGGCTGTCCATGGTCATGTGGTGAGTGAAGGGTTGGGGGTGAGCTTATCTTATGTGGACACTGCATTCTGAATCCTATTAATGGAACAAGAGGCGGAAGATAATCCTTGCTTTCTGCAATTACCTGATATTCAGAGTCCACCTTATGCTGCATGTCCCGCAGATACTGAACATCATTGATGAAGTTCTGCCTGTCCCTTGCTTCATGCAACATGATTCTTAGTCCCCGACCTGTATATGAAAGAAAAGTAAGTGTGCTGTGACAGGTGCCTTTGTGATTTTCCATTTTTGGGTTTATTTGAATATAACTGTATGTTTATCTGTTCTCCATTGTTTGAAAGGTAAACACTCCTTTCTTGTGTAGATGGTGAAGCCCTTACAGGCCTCCTGTTCCAGGCATAAATAATGCAGCCACATTCATTAGCTGGCTTCAGTGATCCTGTCCTGGTTACTCAGAGGGAGATAGGTTGACAGATACCTGATTCGGAAGCAGCTCTACAGCACGCCAGAAGAGAGAACACAGAGCCTAGGTAGATTGGCAGTGGCCAAAGCCCTGGGTTGCTTCAATTCATGTATGCAACTATTTTGCACCCTTAATCTGTTTCAGACTCTGCCAGGTGCTGGGCATAGAAATCAGTCAGGTGGACATGGTCCCTGTTTTTTTTTTTTTTTTTTTTTTTTTTTTTTTTTTTTGTTCTTTTTGAGACAGGGTCTCCGTGTAGCCCCAGCTGTCCTGGAACTCACTATGTAGACCAGGCTGGCCTTGAACTCACAGAGCTCCACCTGTCTCTGCCTCTCGAGTGCTGGGATTAAAGGCGTGTGCCAAGGTCCCTGCTTTTGTGTTGCCTACAGTCCAGGGTAGAAAACTGATGCTAGAACAGGTCAAACCTAGCTGCCAACACAGAACTGGGTATGGGGTTCTTTGAAAGAATATTTGGGAGGCAGAGTTGGCCTGGAGGGGTCAGGCAGTGACACCGTGTTTGATAAGTCATGAATGAGGCAAGGGTTGGGAGAGACAACAGGTACTTCAGGGCATGAAGGGGCAGGTACAGATGAAGAACAGGGTGAAGGCAGGGCAGCTGGGGCGGAGGGTAGGGAGTGGCACTAAGAGGGTGCGGGGGGGGGGGTATCTGCAGGGATCAGCTCATGTGGGGCCTTGCTGGTCATGATAGGACGTTACGAGGCCACTGATAGGTTTCAATCTTGGGAGTAAATGTGTGTGTGTGTGTGTGTGTGTGTGTGTGTGTATCTGTAGAGGCCAGAGGTTGACATCAGGTGCCATTTTACCTCAATTGCCTTCCACTTTATTTTTTGAGACAGGGTCTCTCACTGAACCCAGAATTCACTGATTTGGCAAGAATAGCTGGCCAGAAAGTCCCAGAGAATCCACGTGTCTCCACCTCCCCAGCTGTGGGATTATGGGCACATGCTACCCTGCCCAGTTTTTAAAGTGGCTGCTAGCAGGAATCTGAACTTAAGTCCTTACATTTACTCAGCAAGCACTTTATTGAGTGAACTATTTCTGAGTCCATACATTTATATTTTAGAGGCCCCTAAGGTTGTAGTGACAGGGGGTGGGGTGAAACATGGACTTGGGACCACCACTGGGACATATGATAAAATCATGAGATGAGATGGTAACCAGACTTGGGTAGAAAAGTATGAGGAGGAGGAGGAAGAGGAGGAGGAGAGGTCAGTGGGAATAGAGGGGATCACAGCTCCCATTTACCAGCCTGTAGTAAGTTGCTGTTCTGAGCATTCTCATATATAAACTCAGTCTTCACAACATTGCTCTAAGACAGGCACCACAGTTTCTGCTACAGAAGACACAATCTATCCACAGTTTCAAGGATGTTTAACTACAAAGGAAGCATTCCAATGGCCAGGAGACACCCAGCCAAGACGCAGCTGTGGATTTCCTAGGTTACCTCCTAACTCCTTGTCTACCTGGAATCAGCAAGAAAAGCTTTGTGAGAAAAGAATGTGGAGTTGGAAGTGTCTATGGTACTGTAAATAGAGATGTCAAGCCAGCAGTTAGATGCAAGGTTCTGAACTGATTAGATGGGTGAAGATTTAGCCATTGCTAAATTGTTGTCTTGGTGACAACTAAAGTTGGAGGAGAATGGGAACTTAAAAGAGAAAATGGACATGGGAAGAAACCATTAACAACACTAAGATGTAAGGAAGAAGCTGAAGAGAAGCTCTCTGAAGAATCCGAGAGGTGCCGAGTGTGGTGGTGCACGCCTTTAATCCCAGAACTGGAGGGCAGAGGCAGGCAGATCTCTGTGAGTTTGAGGCCAGCCTGGTCTACAAAGTGAGTTCTGGGCTACAGGGAGACTGTCTCAAAAACCAACCAACCAACCAACCAACAAAACCTCCAAGAATCCAAGAGGAAGGAGCAAAGCCTGGTGGGTGCTGTTCCATAGATGCTGAGGAGGCCTTTCTAGAAGGAGGCTATTAATACCCCTACCGAGGGCAGTTACTGAAGCAACAGGGCCGTTGTGGTAGGCTACATAAACAGGTGGCAAAGAAGTAAAGACAATGTTCTCAAGAAATTAGGCTCTGTTTGGTGTGGCCTGAATTTATGACTGTAATATTATAGCCCACAAAGTTATAAAATGGAATGGTTCATACTGAGACTGCTAGTTTTTATCTGCAGGGTCATCAAAGCCCCCACACCCAACTCCTGCTTATTGTTTGTGGATGGCCTTTCATTGGTTTCTACACATATTTTTATTTTTTATTTTTTAAAATATCTTATTTATTATTTTTATGTGTATAGTGTGTATTGCCTGCATGTAGGTAAGTGCGCCAGTGTCATGCAATGCCCGCAGAGGACAGAAGAGGCTGTCGGATCCTCTGGAACTGGAGGTAACTGACAATTGTTAGCTGCCATGTGGATGCTGTGATTCAAACCCAGGTCTTCTACAAGAACAGCCAGTGTTCTTAACCACTGAGCCATCTCTCCAGCCTCTCTGCACATATTTTTAATGACTACGGTGTGGCAGAAGCTGCTCTGAGCTCTGTGGAAACAGCAGGTAAGAGAGACGCCATCCTAACCCTCAGGTGTATGCACTCTGTGGCTTTCCTTCCCTCCTCTGCTTTATTCGGTGTGTAGATATTGGCAGTCAGCTTGTCCCTGATTCATGGTGACCCAGTGTCTAGTCTGGTAGTTATGAAATCTTGCAAGGTTTATTGTCTACCTCTGAACAACACAGAAAACTTTTGCTGGTGCCTCAGGGACTATTTCCTCTCAACTATAGAAAGTTGATCTTTTAGAGTTAGGGTCTGAAACTAAATATGTAGTTCCACAGTTTGTAAAACATCTGAATCAGATCACACTGCTTTCCTCTTAAAACCATCCAATAATTCTCATTGTGCTAAGAAGCAAGTTTATCACATGCCAGGCTTGGTTCTGTAAGACCTGATCTGATCTGGCTCTATGGAACTCTTCTACCTCTTCACCTTCCACGTTTTCCCTCGGCCACTTCTGCCTTCCCCCGTTTTCCCCAAAGCTCCAGAGTAGCCTGCCTCAGGGCCTTTGCATTTGCTCTCACTCTGGGATGGTTGGAGCTTTCCAGCCACTTCCACAGACATAAAGCACTTCCTCAGGGGTCCTTCCCTGCCTATGTATAGGAGCGTCAGCCCTACCCTCATCACATTTTAAGTTTTCCTCCTGTATTCATCAGCAACTATGTTAGTCAGTCTTCCAATTACCATAACAAATACCTGAGGCAAGTCAGCTTAAAGAGTATGTCTGCTTCTGAGCATTTTAGTAACCCTTTATGGACTGTTTTAAAAGATCTTTTAACTTTCCATAGAAATTTCTACCTGCGTAGAATGAAGTTCAGTTCCCACCCTTTTCAGAAAATGGGGCTAAAAACAGAAAGATGGACCCCTGCTGCTTCTGTTGGAAAGAGAAGCCTGTCTGAATGTTAATCAGGCGGTGAACCCAAGGATTCATAATGAGAACATGTTAACGGTCACTGAAAGGGCACAGCCCACAGTCCACATGGATGATACATTTTGGGCATAAAGTTAACACAGCAAAACCAGTTGATCTATCATGGCTTCAGTGGAGTGTTATTTTAAGGATACTTCTTAGTCAGGAGGCATGAAATAACTGAGTTTAAAGAGGTAGAAATAACACTATACAATGACTTACTATGTACTTGCTGACTTCACAATCACCTACAACATAAAGGACTTTAAAACCGCCTACAAGAGACTCTCCTTCCCCAACCATAAAGTTTCCATTACATTATATTTTACTAGAAAATAAATATTTAAAGCATCAAAGTGCCACATGTAGTTTCTTATTTAAATATATCAAGGTCTTATGAGATTGAACAACCAGTCTGCTTTCTTGGTTGCCTGTCTTATTAAAAACAGGCCAAGGAGATAGTGTCTCGGTTAGGCAAATATTCTGCACATCTACTTGAACTTCAGACTGCACCGTAAATTTGAAAAATTACCAGGATGAACAAGAAACAGAAATAACTATATGGAAATAAATCTATAGGAGATACTTAATCTGTAGAGCTCCACTTTATGGACTACTCAACCAGAGGGCCATTTGAAGTCCAGAATATTTTTCTCAAGAACTATAGGCAGATGGGGGGATAGGGGAGAGAGTGACATTAAAACATGGGCCTGGGGTGTATTTCTAGAACAGCATTCCAGATTGCCTTCTGTTGCTCACCTTCCAACAGCTTCTTGATTTGAAATTCACTCCTAGTCATGCCCACTTCTGCCTCAAGCTTCTGGAGACAATGTACTGGACCCAGATTTGTGTTTTAGAAATCAGTGTAAGAAGCCATATTAAGTAAGGAGACAGGGCCAGGGAAGAGGAGGCATGTGAGGAGAGGAGACAGACCAAGTGATTCTTCCAGACCTCAAAATTCTAAACATCTGTGAAATTTCAATGAGGAATATTCTAAGAATTCTGTGACATATGAATTCCTCTCTAGTGTAAGTTTCCAATGAATTCAGACTGCATTTCTCTGACTAAGGAGAACAAGATTTGAAGGCAGAACATGCTTCAGGTCTCTAAAAATATCATACATGTATACATATAAAAACATACAAACATGCATTCATATGTATATGCTCTCCTGTTCTAGGGCCATATTTGTCAAAAAACTGCCTTCAAAGGAGCTCTTTTTAACAAACTATTTTGCTGTTTTCTTGCAGTGCTCTCATATTAAAAATATCACTAAAATG